CAGGACTAAATCAGTTCTATATGATTATCAAGAAATTCAAAATATATACGAGTTCATTATAACTCTAAATTTTACAGGAATTATGAAGAATTTTCCCAGGGAAACCACAAAGTTTCCTGATTTCATGATATGCATGTGCATTTGTATTAAACAAGTTAAATTGTTTTTTTTTTGTGTCTTATAGCCTTTTCATGTTTAATTATAGGTCTTATCTTGAGTACTCTACAAGGCCTAGGGTCTGATCAGTTAATGAATCATTTTTAGCTCACCTGAGCTGAAAGCTCAATTGAGCTTTTCTGATCACCTTCTGTCCGGCATCCATCTGTATCTGTCTGTACGTTTGTTTGTAAACTTTTCACATTTTTTACTTCTTCTCCAGAACCACAGGCCAATTTTTAGAAAACTTGGCAGAAAGCATCCTTAGAGTTTGTTAAAATGAAGAGCCACACCCTCTTTCAAGTAATTGAAAATTTGTAGGCCTTTTAAAAAATCTTATCCAAAAGCATTTGGCCAGAAAAGCTTTAACTTGTTGTAATCACGTAATGACAATGGCATCAGGACTTTCAATATTGAACCTATTACTGTGTGGATGCATCCTTAGGTAGTGTAGATTCAAGCTTGTTCAAATCGTTCCCCAGGGTAATGTTGGGCCACAATGGAGGGGATGGGGTTGAATTTTCACATAGGAATAAATAGAGAAAAATCTACTTTTAAGGTGGTTTGGGACACCTGTTGATATTAATGTGGATAATAGTACATAGTAATCAAAATACTCTCACCGTTCTAAAATTCTGCAATATTTTATGAAAGAAAAATTTTTTGAAAGGTAAAAATTACACATAATTAGGCCCAGCAGGATTCGAACTCATGACTTACAGATTGGCAGTTAACGCTCTAACCCATTGCGCTACGTTGTTGTTAGATAACAATTTTAGGAAAGACAATTTGTATATAATTATACTCGATTTTATTGTTTATAGAATATAAGAAGTACAGCACATCACAATATGGAGGTGTCCATACCATCTTTAAAAAATATGAAAAAATATGAAATGACAAAATAGGCTCAATGTTTATGTGGAGAAAAATTTGAAGATCTTTTTAAACATGATCTTGTAGATGACTAAATTGGCAAGATATTTTGTAATCAATACCATAAAGCTGAATTGATCAGAGTTAAAATATGGCTATACATGGTGGCTCAGATGAGCAAAGTGGCCACTCAGGGCCTCTGGTTATAATTGTTTGACTGTGTGGTTTGAGCTGTGATCTTATAGTACATTACTGTTACGCCTCAATTTAGAGATCTTCCCGGTTGGGTGGAAGGTCTGGCATGTCTGAAAGTACCATGTATAGGTCATGATGTTTGACTTTGGGAGTAATTCATATATAATAGGCAATCTATTCCTGAGTTATTATATCTTTCATAATTGTGACTCATGCAATCACCAATTATTAGCTTATAGATACATACCCCAGTACTGCATTGCATCATATGCAACATTCAATTTCGAGTGTTTTGCATGCAAGAGTCTGCATGTATATAATTATACATCTAAATTGAGGGGGAAGGGGTCTCTTTTATTTTGAGCATCCCAAACAGAGAAACAATTGCATAAATTAGTTTTCTGCTGAAAAAGAACACTGCATCTTAATTACAGGGAATGTCTGCGATTCTGTTTCACAAAACTTGTTCAAGATGATCTAAATAAATGTGCTCAAGAGTGGAATCAACACAGAATTCGACACACAAAGTCTGCAGGACTGCCTGGTGGAAAACCAGATTTGATGTATTATCTTCCAGAGTTATATGGTAATTAAGGAAATATATGTCTTATTTCTCCTAATTTTAATTTGCATACATCAAGATCAAAGCAAATTGTATATAGCTATATAAGGTTAGTTCGGTCAAAGTACCGGGTAGGTAAATTGTATATAGCAATATAATGTTAGCTTGGTCAAAGTTGATAATTACAGTTAGTAAGTCTGGTGTTTTTATTTGTTCTAATATCGATAATTGCATGTACCAGTACTTCACAAATGGAGTATTTTGAGAAAATTAACTAAGATAGGTCCAATATGTCAAAGAATTACAAATTAAGGTATAAAATTTAAAAATTCCACTTCTCTTGGAGTATGCCTTTAATTTTCTCTATTGGTCCAATGTAACCTAGTGCATTAGGGAATAAAGATTAAATGCTTTGAGTTTCAAGGTCAAATAAATAGATTATTGATAATCTTTGTAAATAATTTTTCTCTTCTTAATCCAAGGTCCATTTTTCAGGAATTACTCTAAAATGTTCTTCCACTGGTAAAACACTTGACCCCATTTCATTACAAGGCACACACCTTTCATTTAACATTTATGTCTAGCATAAAGTATTATTAGGTATCATAATTGTATCAGATCTGGTTCATGGATTTGTCAAGGTGGGGATCCCAAAGTGTGCCAGACATTATAACTTAGTATGATATCATTATATATGACTAAAATAATGCTTGAAACATTTTACGACCAACTAAATATAAGCATACACCCTACCACTTATCCATCACCTTCATGTCATTTGTTAACCTTTTGATAAATTGGGTCCCAGACCAAAACTGGCCAAATCTATAGACCATATAGTAGAGTGGATAAGGAGAGAAGTCACTGTGATATGTTCCTAACCTTAATTTGTATTTATTCTGCAGATACACACAATTTTAAGATGGAGATAGACATTGCTGATGTGGATGCAGCTGAAGAATTCTGCATTCGCCAAAGTGCTTTTGGATGTTTACCAGACTTTGAAGAGGAATGTAAAAACATTATACTTGAAAATTCCCTGTTGTTGCCAACAAATTATAGTGAAGCACTTGCTTTGTATGAATGGCTCATATCTTACTTAAATGCTTGAATATGATATAATTTTTTGCTGATGAACACCATTTAATTATCCAGCACATGGCTGTATGGTAGAATAATCTGTTATCAGAATAAATTTGGAATAAAGTTTTAAAAAAGGGAAACTATAATTATTTATGGTTCATTTAGATAAATTAGTACAAAGGGAATTAAACTACCAAGATCAACTGTAGTTGGCCATGAAGTAAATTTCCTAATTTCAACCAATATAACCCTTGCATTTTAAGTCAAATGCTCTACATTTGCAGTGTCCACTGACATTGTACATACAATGTAGCCTATACATATACTTGACTGCCATGTCTCTCTATAATTCACAAGTCTTAATGACCCCAACCTGCATGGTTATACATCCAAAAGGAGTTTCATGCATTTATTATTTCAGAAACTGAAAGACAGTCATTTCAACCCCCCATGAACCTTGTATTTCAATTCATTGCTACACCAAAAGCCATCTGACCCTAAAGGCCACCTATATTTTTGTCTGATGTAATGAAAGCTATTTGATTGTCTTAATTAACGATGTTTGCTCCTCAGCAATGTTTGATAACTTATTGATCAGGACATGTTTTGTTTATATCACAGATTTGGCTTGTATCTTGGAAATAATATTGCGTTCTTTCAATTACAACATGGTAATTAGAAATGACTGGGTAAATGGTAACATGAAGAATATCTGACTTATGTTCAAAGAGAGTTTGACCTTCCAATATAATTTGACGCAATTCTTAATTTACACAAATCTCAATTCAAACAATTTTCCTTATTAATTTACATCTCAAATGAGCAAATGTGATACATGTACATAAGTTTATTATATGCCATGATACACTGGAGTCATATCATTTTGTTTGATTTTAAAACATGAACTCAAAATGCACATATTGGCAAATAACAATTAACTATGAAATTTATATGGCTGAGGATCAAAGAATCTCAGTTTTGTACAATCAGACTCTGCAGTTATTCAATTGCCATTGATTTGAGAATTGTGACTCCTCCTTATAGAAAATAGTAGACTTAATTTGTGAACTCATTATTTCTGAATTTTCTTTTTTACAAAGAAGACAAGATGTGTTTGTGAAACACTGATGCCCCCATATGGCAGCTTATGGCGAAGGTTAAAGTTTCTCAAATGCAAGTCAAAATCCAGGCCAAAAGATAAAAAATGTTGGTACCCAAAGAAAGGTCTTGTCTCGAGGAATATACCTGTGAAATTTGAAAGCCCTAGCTGCAACTGTTCAAAAGTTGTGGCAAAGGTTAAAGTTTTTTAAAAGTAAGTAAAACGTCGAGGTCAAGGTCAAAGTTGTTGGTATCCAAAGGAAGGTCTTGTCACAAGGATTACATATGTGAAGTATGAAAGCCCTAGCACCAACCATTCAAAAGTTATGGCCAAGGTTAATGTTTTTCAAAAGTAGGTCAAACTCCAAGGTCAAAAGGTCAAAGTGGTTGGTATCCAAAGGAAGGCCTTGTCACAAGAATACACATGTGAAGTTTGAAAACCCCAAACACCAACTGTTCAGATGTTTTGGCCAAGGTTAAAGTCTCATAAAATTTTGCAAAAGTGGGTCAAACTCCAAGGTCAAATATGATGGTACCCAAAGAAAGGTCTTGTCTCAAGGAATACACATATGAAATATGAAAGTCATAGCTCCAACCAGTCAAAAGTTATTGGCAAGGTTAAAGTTGACAACAGACAGACAGGACAAAACAAAAATATACCCCCGGGATCTTTTGATCCCGGGGCATAAAAAAACTCGGCCAAAATTTGAAATTTTATTGTCAATCATAAGAATATTGGTACACACTACTATCTGTAGCTTTAAATTTGCACATTCAAAGTGCAAATAAACAAGCAGAAACATAGATATAAAAATTCTGATCACAGTTAAACTAAAAATGTACTGCCTATATGGGCAACATATTCTAGTCCAATAACCTAATTTATCACTTGACTGTCCATATTATTCTCTTATAATACATGTAAAAGCAAACTTCTCTCACTCTCATGGACTACTTTATATTCCCAGTTCATGATAATAAACCTTTCAGGTGCTTCGTTGGCCTGAATATGTTAACGGTAACAGTTTGGTGTTTCAGGTACATTGTATTGTCATGACAATAATACATTGGTTAAAGTCCTGCCCTATCCTAAACCAGAAGTTTGGTGTTATTAAGATTTTAATTTTGTGACCATTTTCTGAAGCAAAAAGCTTCAATATGTTATAGCTTTATACAATGAAAATTTTCCATAATTTGAACATGCATGTCCTTAATACGCTAATAATTTCTTATAATACAATGAGGTTTTTGGGGGGAGGGGCATGTAATGAAAGAAACTGATATCATAATATCGTTTTAAGAAAATATCAGTATTTTGTATCACATTTGTATTGAAAATAATTGACTAGTTATAAAGTAAATATAAGTAAATATAATTGTACCATAGTGAAATATTGAATAGCTTGCTAAAAGTCCAGCTAATACCAACTGAAACAAAATGAGTAAAAATTTGCCATTTTCATTTCACAATTAATTCACACAATTTCAATCAGTGAACAATTTTGTAAATATTAAAAAGTTTTTTGACTTTTTAAAATACACATCATAAAACCTAAATACAATCTGAACACATGCACACTTTAATATCTTAACTCTAACCTGTGAGCTAAACACATGGATATATATACACCACCTAACATTTCTCAATAATCAGTAAATAAACAACCCAAATCTAGTGCATTGTCCATGACTTCTTTGAACGCACTGTATGTTTCGGTGACAGGAATGCTCAGAGTGTTGGAACATGTGTTTGCATAAGGGGTAGCAAACACACTGAAATTTTCTTCTGCTTCTGGATGACGAAACTTTAATTTGAGTGGTGGAGAAAACCCCAAAGGTGGAACTGAATCCAACCCAGTGACAAAAGTCAAGATAGATTTGAATTTGTCGGGCGTATCTACAAATAAAAACTATAGGTTTTAAAATAGCAATAGTCAACTTTTGATAATTTTGTTTACTAATAGCAATTCATGCATATATATATATATATGTGCAAAGTAAGCTAAAATGCACCTTAACTATATATTATTAGTAAAAATCTTTGAAAGTACCGGTATGTGATAATTTAGATATTCATGAAAATATTATCCTTTGACATTCCACAATAAAGGTCCTATAAAAACCTGTGAATTTTATTTTTTAAGATGTCACCCTACAATGGGCACTTCATCATCTTGTGAAATTATTTGTTTCAGGTATAATTTTATAGCTCAATGGAAATGACATTTATAATACTTAACTGACTTACAGATCCAGAGTTTGAATTAATTCAGAATGGATATGTGATTACTTGAATAAAAGGGTCTTTGATGATCATTTTAGAATCCCGAATTGCTATTTTCCTAGTACTTTTTCATTTCTGAAGATAAATGCTTGACATGCATACATCTTCAAGGTAAAATCTCAGTTGTGCTGATTAAAATACATTTCCTAAAGGTGTTGAGAACCCGTAATCGTTCACAGATATATGCATACAATCTTAAACGAGAGGCCCATGGGCCACATCGCAGCTGAACAACAATTCTTGTATCTCTGTCGAAATTTATAAACATGAAACTCTTCTAAAAGACTGTTAAACTCACCAAAATTCTCAAATATATTCCAAGTGACAATACATAAAAACAAGCCTACTTTTTTGGACATCAATATCCCAAGATCAAAGATGCATCAGGCCTATATTAAAATATTGTTTGTTTGCCCTTAGCCAACCGACCCACAAAAATCGGCCCGACTCAAAATATTTTATTGCTTTTTACATTTACAATTTTTTATTGAATCATTTCAACCTAATGTGTTTTAATCCATTTAAAAACTTTGTTGAGGTCTTTTAGATGCTTTGATTAGTGGCATTAAAAATAAATATAATTTTCTAAATCTGTGGTAATCCTAGACTAGCTTTTTTGTTCATTCAGTGCATACAGCCCTTGCCGCCTTGGATATTTACTGCACGCAAAGGTGAGAATTTAGGGTGTGAAATCTACATGTTCTGAGGATTCAAGTTTGCTCAAAGAGGGACACTAGGGTTAGGTTGGGGTTAAAATTGGGGATTAATTTTACATAATAATAATATATATAATAATATAATATTAATGCATGTATTATAATAATTATTCTTTATATAATAATAATATAATAATAAAATCGCTGAACATTTTTCCTTAAGAATAGCAAGGCCACATTAGTCATACTGATATTCAGAATCTTCATGTAATGATCGAAGATTAAAGTCTGATTATGTCATGAGACTTGGACCCACAATCTTTCACGGGAATGTAGAAGGAAGATTTTTCAAAAACAACCTTCTGAAGAGCAGCAATTAAGCAAAATGACACAGTCGAGCATTGTGACCCTTATGCTTCTTGTTATAATTTTAAGAAGAAAAAATAAAATATTTTTTTCTACCTACCTACCCATCATTAAAAATCTGGGTCGGAAAAGGGCAAACAAACATTTTTTTTTAATTTTGACCTCAACTGACCCATCTTGTTATCTTTTGGGTCCCTGTATTGTTTTGGGGGTCATGGTTTTAACAAATAAAGAATCTTCACTATATAAACATGTTCAAGCTTTGGTATAAATTATTGGCATTTCTGATGCAGTGGTTCTTGAGAAAAAGATTTTTAAAGACACACACCTTATTTTCACTGTTTTGTGATTATATATCTCCATTTTGAAAAGGTTTCACCCTTTATTTTAACAATTTAGAATTCCCTTCCCATAAGGGTGCTTTGTACCAAGTTTGGTTACATTTGGCCCAGTGGTTCTTGTATTTAGAGAAGAAGTCAAAAATGTGAAAAGTTTATAGACAGACAGACGGACAGATGGACAACAGGTGATCAGAAAAGCTACCTTGAACCTTCAGTTTAGGTGAGCTAAAAAGTGTGGATCCTATTCCTATCATTTACAATAAATACCTTCTATTTCAACTAAATAATCTCTCCAGTAAGTCTGTATTCTTAATTCATTTATATACTTGTTACTGCCTTCCTCAGAGAACTCAACAAGGAACATGTTGTCCATTTCCACTGCATCAAGAAGAAGGTCGCTTTTATGGACAAAGAGTCCTCTCATGGCATCAGGATAATTTCTAATCCTGTCAAGTACACCAAGGCATTGTAGACCTTTGGTGAATCTGTAAAACAAGATAATTAGGATTTTGAGATAAAAATTCTTAATTCATCCTGTGGTAACAAGTCAACCCCTATTTTGCCTCACTGACTTTACCCCAGGAAAAAGCAATTACCATATACAATAAACTATAACTTTTTTTTAATTATAATTAATTAACTTGCCAAACCTTTTAATAAAATCATATATTCCAAACCATATATTTTAAAGTCATTCAAATAACTGTTAATAAAGGTTCATTACTTAATAAGAGATCCTTGCATGCAAGTCTATTTCTAGCATTTTATATACAGGTGAGGTAAAAAGCACACACAGTTACGTAAAACTCACTGTTTAAGTGACTTCTCAATCCTTGTTACAGCTATATGCCTACATAAAGCATGGACAAGCTCATTTTTTCTTTTTGGCACAGCTAATGGAAGAGCACCAATATAATCCAAAAGTGGCCTCATTGGATCAACAGCATCAAAAAAAGATGAAATATCTGTTGACATTTCAATCTGAAACAAAGATTTAATTTCTTTTGGAAACATATCTGCCACCAATTTAGCAACAAAGGAACTGAGCAGACAGGTAATGGGTAATATAGATACCAATCATTCAGTGTAATATCAACAAACAATTTCAAAAAATTGTGGTCCCCCGCTTTTGGTGTCTTTGTGGGTGAGATGTCATTATATGTATTTACAGCATATTGTGTCAAATATGAATGCCCTATCATATGTCATTCAAAAGTTATCACCAAAGGTGAATTTTTTGAAAATTAGGTCAAACATGAAGGTCAAGGTCAAGGAGTCAGAAATCATAGCATGCTTGGAAATTCTTGTCACAGGTAATACACATGTATAATATGAAAGCCCTATCTCTTCTCATTCAAAAGTTATGGACAATTTAAAGTAATATTTAAATTTTTTAAAAGTAGGTCAAACTTCAAGGTCAAGGTCATGGGGTCAAAAATCATAATGTATTAGAAAGGTCTTGTCACAGGTAATACACATGTGTAATATGAAAGTCCTATCTCTTCTCACTCAAAAGATATGACCAAGGTTAAAGTTTTTGTGAAAGACAGACAGACTTACAGACTGACGGACAGACAGATGAATGAGATTTAATGTCCCCTCACTTTCCTTAAAGTGGGGGACAAAAATTTAAAACATGGGAGATATCCTTGATTAATGAGGGTAAATATTTGATAGATATGAATATGCAGGATTTAGTTCAGGCCATTCATTAATATAGTTTGTGCAATTTATTTGATAGAAATTGAAAGTGTTACAAATAACTGCATTTAAAAACCAGAAGTCTCTGATGAGACTGAAGCTCTACTGGTCTGTACGTATAACAAAGGAAAAGTAGCACTTGGATTTGAAACTTTGCAACATGAAACAATAAATAGAATTATGTATCTTAATGTTAAGTCTACTTCTGTGCCACGTTATATTGAAATCAAACAATAACTATAGGAGGAGTAGCATTTTGAAAAATTGTTTATACAGACAGACAGACAGAAGGACGGACGACGGAAATGTTACTATTGCACAAGCTCTTCTGGTCTCTGACCAGTAGAGCTAAAAACAATTATAATTATATACAGAAAATTTACTCATAGCTATAGGTGCTTACACAAACCTTAATTACAGTGGTATTTTGATAAAAAATAACTGTCATGCAAACGAGGATTAATTTGATTTATAAATCAAAAATACCTGTTGAACTTGTTTCTTGTATTCATCATCAACAATGTCATCTATGGTTGGATCTGCTGAATCCGGCCCATAGGCCAAAAGCCCAAACATGAACTCTGACATAAATCTTGGTGCTGGTCCACCATGCACCAAGCAATAAGCTATTATCATCCCATAGGTCTCATAATCACCGTTCTCTTCAGCTAAAATAAGGTAGTCATAATGTGATGGAAAAACAATTACAGATTTCAAACCCATTCAAGTTTTTGACTATTCATAAAAAAACTGAGTGAGGAGTGAGGAAAGGGGGAGTAGGTGAAGGTTATATAATAGTAGCTGTTATGGAATTTCACTCATCTGGTAGATACTTGTTTGCTCATCAAAACCACAATTATGATAAAACCTAGAAGCGGATCGAGAAACAGATTTTTAAAGAATGAATGTAAATTTACTATATGATTAATGGACTGAGTCCACCACAACACCAGAATTACATGTATACCCCTAATTCTGGGATCACAAATTCCACAAATTTAGAGATCGCGGCTGTCTTTCCTGAACACCGTAACAAGGCACTTACTTTTCTGATGCCAAGGAATATAGAGAGCAAAAAAGACAAAGCATCTCTCTCTCTCTCTTTTTTTTTTTTTTTTTTTTTTTTTTTACAGTTTACCGGTAGCCCCAAATTTATGGGCCCTGCATGGGGATGAGGATCATAAATCTTACAATTTTTTTTTTACCATTACCCTATACTGTTATTACAAATTTATATCAAAACTATAAATACCTAACAGGTTTTGCAACAGCATCTTCCTTCTGGACTCCCCTTCAAATATTGCAGACTCTGACACTGCTTTCATAATCATTCTCATGAATTCCCTTGATGGACCACCGTCATCAATTCCTTTTTCTCCCGAAAATCTTACAAATAATGGCTGGTCAGCCATGAATTTTTCTCTTCTGAATGAATCTTTAGTGGCCAACACATTGTTCCTGTCCACATTAATAATATTTTTTTTACCATCAACTTTTATATTATTTCTTAGTTGTTTAAGAATTTCTTCAGCTGTCATATTCCTGCAGGAGAAAGCAGAAAAAGATATTAATTTTTCAATGGCACACATACCGGTACTTTTGCAAATGTGAATATGTACATACCGGTTTATAAATTACATGTATCCATAAAGATGCTGATTAAAAATGTAGAAGTGAATAGCTATATATAGATAATGAAAGAATTTTTAAAATCTTTAATTTTTTTAATAAAATATATATTCATGGAATAATAAGACTTTTTCAGTTCTTTCTGCAATTCTGCATATCTTAATATGCTTCCTAAAATTGAACTAAAAATGCAAAATTATTTTGATTTTATCTATAGATTTGGTCGTCACATATTTCTGCTGACCTCAGAATGACATGAAATACGTTATTCATGACATAATGGTCCGAGACCATTACACATGTAAAGATTCTGACCATGTAATTTTCACCTAATCAGAGTTAAAAAAAAAAAGAGAAGATTTTACACAAATTTAAATCCAAACTAACATCTTTGCAGCCTTAAAGAACAGAAATTAGTGTCTATTAAAGGATGAGGTCTTAAATGTCAGCAGCCCATTTTTAGTAATATAATGAATTAAAAAATCAATCGTGATTTCTATAATTGATCCAATTAAGAGTGCATATAATTGATATATCCTGATTAGTATCTATAGATCAGATATTTTCTTATTGTAATGACTGATGCATTTAGTAATCAGTATTATTTTTAGACTCAGTAAAATTGAATTCCATTCTGTTTTGTGACCCCGTCTTTTTAATTAATAAAAATGAATAAAATGGGCGGGCCCTAGTACAATACAGGATAATTACATGTATGTATATGAAGAAATTAAGCAGACTGGACAAGACTCGCTTACATACCATGTGACATTGTTATTGCCAAAATTTCAAAAGAATCGTGAAAACTTAACTTTGAAAATTAACATCCGTTGAAATTACAACTAGGAAAATTAATGATATATAATCACATTAATGTGCAACAAAGGCAAATACAGTCATGTCAAACATGCATATCAAAATGTACATGTATGTGCGATCAGGTAGACGAGTAGCATTATAAAAGGTTCAGAGTTTTCACATCAATTAGGTATAAACAACATCTGATTCAGAAAATTTATAATGGGGAAGGTCATGCAACTTGACTTTTGCATCTTATAACAAGAGGCCCAGGGGCCACATCGCTCACCTGAGCACTATGGCTAGGAAAAAGCAGAAATCACTTCAATCTTGAAAGGTTGAAAAGTTTAAATATAAAAGTGGTTGGAGGGGGGGGGGTGTCATGAATTGAACAAATTTGAATCTACATTATCTGAGGATGCTTCCATTTAAATATGACCAATCATGGCTTTGCTGTTCTTGAGTAGAAGATTTTTAAAGATTTAACCTATGTATTCCTATGTAAAACTTTGATCACCCATTGTGGCCCCACCCGACCCCCAGGGGTCATGTTTGAACAAACTTGAATGTACACTATCTAAGAATGCTTCCATATAAATATGACCAATCATGGCTTTGCTATTCTTAACAAATAGTTTTTTTTAAAGATTTTTACTATGTGTTCCTATGTAAAACTTTAATCGCCCATTGTGGCCCCACCCGACCCCCGGGGGTCATGATTCGAACAAATTTGTATGTACACTATCTGAGGATGCTACCATATAAATATGACCAATCATGGCTCTGCTATTCTTAACAAATAGTTTTTTTTAAGATTTTTACTATGTGTTCCTATGTAAAACTTTAATCGCCCATTGTGGCCCCACCCGACCCCCGGGGGTCATGATTCGAACAAATTTGTATGTACACTATCTGAGGATGCTACCATATAAATATGACCAATCATGGCTCTGCTATTCTTAACAAATAGTTTTTTTTAAGATTTTTACTATGTGTTCCTATGTAAAACTTTGATCGCCCATTGTGGACCCACCTGACCCCCGGGGGTCATGATTTGAACAAATTTGAATGTACACTATCTGAGGATGCTTCCATGTAAATGTGACCAATCATGGCTTTGCTGTTCTTGAGAAGAAGATTTTTGAAGATTTTCCCATATATTCCCATGTAAAACTTTGATCGCCCATTGTGGACCCATCCGACCCCCGGGGGTCATGATTTGAACAAATTTGAATGTACACTATCTGAGGATGCTTCCATGTAAATGTGACCAATCATGGCTTTGCTGTTCTTGAGAAGAAGATTTTTGAAGATTTTCCCATATATTCCTATGTAAAACTTTGATCGCCCATTCTGGCCCCACCCGACCCCCGGGGGTCATGATTTGAACAAACTTGAATCTACACTACCTGAGGATGCTTCCAAGTAAATATGACCAATCTTGGCTTTGCTGTTCTTGAGAAGAAGATTTTTAAAGATTTTCCCTGTATATTTCCTATGTAAAACTTTGATTGCCCATTGCGGCCCCACCCTACCCCCGGGGGTCATGATTTGAACAAAATTGAATCTACACTACCTGAGGATGCTTCCACATAAGTTTCATGTTTTCAAGCACAGTGGTTCTTGAGAAGAAGATTTTTTAATGATGCCATTAATTTTTCACAAATTCTTAATTATCTCCCCATGGAAGAAGGCGTGGCCCTTCATTTGAACAAACTTGAATCTCCTTTACCCAAGGATACTTTGTGGCAAGTTTGGTTGAAATTGGCCCAGTGGTTCTTGAAAAGAAGTCGAAAATGTGAAAAGTTTACAGACGGACAGACGGACGGACAGACGGACAGACGGACTACAGACAAAATGTGATTAGAAAAGCTCACTTGAGCCTTCGGCTCAGGTGAGCTAAAAAGTTATACATGAGCGCAGTTAGATACGTTTTTCTCCTATGTCAGCAAACTCGCAAGCTACCTCAAGATGACAGATCAACTTACCTGATACTCAGGGGTCTTGAAACACTATCAGCATTTTTGTTGAAAACAATCTAAGAAAATAGATTTTGTTATTATAGAAAATATCATTTTTGTTTTTTTCTAAAATGCTAATTCCTAGTTTTTAAAAATAAATTTCATTTAATCAAATTACCGTTGGGGTTCCTGAATCAGATGGAATGTGTATTCCTGAATCAGCAGAGCTTTTGGTCTCCTGTTTTTCTGTCTGTAAAATTTGACACATAAAATATTATGATATATTGACTTATGAATTCTACCAGTAGATTGTCAAATATTTATTCATATGACAGCTGGTGCAAATATTAAATGTGATCCAACATTGATAAGCTACAACATTTGTTTTAACCTTAATTCACTTCAGGAAATTTTACTTATTATAATAGATGAATCATTTGATAAAATGTAAACGTCCCAGGTTACCGTTTCCATCACTTTTTGACGAACTTTAACAAAAACACACATACCTGCTAAAGAAGTACAATTGAAATCAATATAAGGGGAAAATTCCAAGATTTCATCACTGTCACTTCATCTATTTTTACCTGGAGAAATTAACATGAACAAAAACAAATTTCTATGGAGATTTACAATGGGAAATGTTGATATCTTTTCTTCATTCGGAAGTACTCGGGACACCTGGCTCACACAATTTTTCAACGTTACCATCCGGGTACTTTTCATGTCATTTGCAATGTAAAATCCCCATAGTCTTCTTATTTTTGGTTGTGAATTTAAACCTAAAGAGTAATGATACAAAGGGGCATTTCAAAACAGAAAATCTGGACTTTTTTCATTCCAGTGGATGAACGAAGTTTAGGCACAAATGTATTAATTATTATCAAAATATAAAGCAAAAAGTGGTGGAAGCAGAAATTTGGGACAGAGTATAGCTGGATTTTTCGCATGTTTATGTTGCTTCAGTAAATTAATTCTATTAATTAATGTTGTTTACTGTTGGTGCTCTTGATTCTGAGACATCAGATTCCAATTCTTCAACCTGTAAAATCAAAACCCAAATCAATATAACTCAAGTTTATGAGTAACAATTATAATTAACATGTTAGCTAGAAAGAATGATCATGCAGACTTAAATTATAATGACTCTGCATGATTTGTTGATACTTCTTTGTAACATACTGTACATATAAACATGTATTTTGTGTCATCTGCATGACATCTCAACATTGCTAATAAAATAAGTTTTGAAGTATTATATACAGCACTCATGCAATCAACATAATAAATATAAATAAATCTTTCAATTTTCTATTAAGTGTTACATTCAGGACATATCATTTTCCTTTTTTAATGAAAGATTGAATTGTACATGAACTTAACCTTCAAGTTCAGTTTTTCAAACTCAAGAGGAAACAAACAATTCTTTGATGCTTTAACAGCACAATATACCAATTAGATATCTTTTAACTTCTTGACCCCAACTCCTTAACTGCATGATCCATACACGAGAGCATACAAAAGAAGCCCATGGTCCACATCACTCACCTGAGCAATAATACTCATAACAAAATCAGCTTTATGGAGTCATATACAAAATATCTGGACAATGTAGTATCAACAATATGTCAAGATGCTTGCACATAAATAATACCATATATTATATTAGAGTTTTTGAGAATGATTTCAAATTTTTTCCTATGTACAATAATAAAATAGCATGGACCCCCCCCCCCCATCCCCATAATGTGGCCCAACCTTACCCCCAAAGATCATGATTTTGAAAAACTATTTGAAGATGCTTTCACTGAAGTTACAGCTTTTCAAGGCGAATGGTTTTAGAAGAAGATTTTAATCTATATATTCCTATGTAAAAATTTGAACCAACTTCCCCATTGTGGCCCCACCCTACCCCTGGGTATCATGGTTGAACAAACTTGAATCTATACTACCTGAGGATGTTTCAAAACTAGTTACAGCTTTTGTGGCCAATCGGTTTTTGAGAAAAAGATTCTTAAAAAATGTCAACAATTTTTCAATAATTCTAAATTATCTCCCCTTGAAAGAGGGCATGACTCTTCATTTTAACAAACTTGAATCCCTTTCAACAATGGAGGCTTTGTGCCAACCTTGGTTAAAATTGACCCAGTCAGACAAAAAGTGATCAGAAAAGCTTACTTGACCTTTCAGCTCAAGTGAGCTAAAAATCAAATAAATATAATTAAGTTGACAAAATCAAATTACTGTTGGACTTGTTTCTGGGTTTGAAGGTATTTCAGCTATGGTTGCAGTTTTGGGCTCCGAATCCTTCACCTGTAAGATTTGATACAAAGAGCTCTGTTCAATTGGAAATCCATGCAGTTTTAAATGCTCAAATGAATCAATTTCATCAAAAGTATAAAACACTGTTTTTGATATCATATAAGAGAGGTGCGAAATTAAAAGTATTAAGACATATGATAAAAGATGCAAGATATGTGCTAAAAAAAATCATATATATTTCATAAATTATTTTCTTCTCCTTCCCTTGCATTTACAAAATAAAACTTAAATTGTTCTATAAAAATCCTGTATATATATATATATATAATACACACACACACACTCACACATGTATATGTATGAGTCTTGTTTATATACATTACAAAAGAAATTGAAAATTTTTTAGCTTAACCTGTGACCTCAGACATGCCTAAATTTTTCACAAAAGCTTTTCTTTTCCAGGAAATTAGAATATATATATCGAAATGCCAAAGACAACGACACCCTTTCAAAATAATAATGTTTACTGTAATGCTTTATCACAATGTCAACTGATTAGTAATTAAAACATACCTTTTTATCTTCTTTCCTTCTCTTTGATTTTCTCAAAACTAGTTTAGGCAGACTTTCAAATTCATCATCACTCTCATCCTGAAATATTTTTTTACTTTTCATCACATATTCAATGAAATAATAAATAAAAGGTCAAAACAATGCAAAATGAGGCAAATGGATGGGGCAGTTTGTAACTATATAAAGGGCGTTCTTCTGCATACATCCTACATAAACTTTAATTTAAACATTGAAGTCTACTTGTAGTCTAACTAATGGTTTGGAGGATTTCCGGGGGGGGGGGGGGCTGCAATATTTATTTCTCATAAGCTTTGTTACTACATATATTTTATAACGTTGTCCAGAACATGTACACCTCTTGATCAGTGCATGAATATTATGACACTTACTCCTTGTAGTATGTAATATACCTATGAGTAGTGTATCAGCCTTAACTGATTCACATTAGATAGTTAAAATGATCGAAGCAGTTAAAAGGATGGACAAGCTAGAAAGTATGACATTTCTGTAATTTTTTTTTTACTTGCTCATTATCAATTTAAATGCAGTGATCTAGGGAAAATTAAACTTACAAATTTACAGAAGAAACTTGACACATTATGAGGCTACTTAATAAGTTCCTCTCTTGATAATTTTGAATTCTATATGCATCCAGACCACGTTCTTTATGTTTAACATACATTAAATGATGACAGTTCGACACCCAAGTCTGACAACTCTGCGAGTGCCTAACATGATAAAAATAGAAATGAATGATTTTTGAAAACCCGGAAAAACAAGTGTAAGATTTCTTTAACAAAATATATTCTTCTTTTAAAGAAATCTTAATTATAATGGTATTAAAATAATTGATGATATTACCTGACATCACACCGTTGTTTAGATCTTGTCTGTAACTGGTATCAGTCCAAGCAGGCCAATATTAAAACAACAGTGTTATGTTCTTTATGTGTATGTCTTGATAGGATTTGAACAAAACTCTCAGAGGATTTTAAAATCCGGTGGAAAACCTTAATTTACTATACTATATATGAAACTACCTGCCTAAATTACTAGAAAATTCCTGCTGCAGGATCGCAATACTCTCTTCCTAATAATTGGCCAGCATTTTTTTTATTTTTAGGTTTACAAACACCAGAATGAAAAAGTTCCATAGGAGGAGGAAATAAAACATTTTTTTTGGATAAATTATCTACTTTTGTACATTCATTTTTGCTTCTTTTTTGATGCTCTTCTAACAGAGCCTCCTTGCCACTTGCCACACAATGGTTACAAATAGAAAGATAGGACCTTTAATTGTTTATTTCATTGTCTGCCAGTTGGGGACAGTGATATAAATTTTGAGATGTTGGTCAAAATACAAATTTTTTAACTCTTTCAAGATATCTTCATTTTTTTTAAAATGTGTGTCAAGTGATTGTATAGAAATTGTTCTAAAAATATACTTGTGACCTTAAGTAAATATTCCTATCATATAACAGACAGGGAAGGGGGGGAGGGGTACAATTTTTTCAATTAAGAGTAAAATATTTTTTCTGGTTGCCACATTCAAAGACGATACTACATGCATGTATATATTTGTATATACTTGTTTTCTTTAATAGTTGAAATACTTCATTTCTTTTGGCTATTGTTTATTTCACCCTCAAATGATCAACTTCACTTCTCCCATAGTTTTATTCATTACATCTGATGCATAAGTGATCCTATTCTGAAGAATGTTGCTTAGACTGTAACCTACAGCAGAGACCTAAACAATGTCTCTGGCTATAGCTAACTTGGGCAGTTTTTAACCTGTGGGAGAAAATTAACTTACATGCAGATACTTTTGAATACATATACATAATTATCTCACCAACATGTCATTGTGCAACAAAGTTGTCAGCATTTTATTTGTCCTCTGAACGGGTGAAACATTTTGAATGGCACTCCTATTGATAAATTTTACACTAAACCAAGCTATGATGCTGCTATGGACTATGCAGATCTACCTTTACCTATTTACCCGCTTAATTCCATTTTTCTCCATTTTTTTTTCTGAAAATTAATTCAAAAATTTCAACGGTAAACCTAAAAATAAAAAAAAAAATGCTGGCCTATAGGAAAATAAATTCCTGCAAACATGGGACTGAAATCAGGCAGACATAGAAAAGGGAAATAACTGCACCAAACATTAATTGAAATGCTTGAAAGTAATTTTGCATTTCAATTGGCTAGACAAATAAAAATTACCTGCAGAACTTTTTCATTTGCTAATTTGATTTTTTTCTGTGGTTCTCCCTGAATAAGAAATAATTTAAAAGTATAGAAAATAAAAAAAACTTGCATGATATCATCATAAGGAAATTGACCATAAGAATTTTTATATGGATAAATTTATCAATTTTAATGATAATCATAAATACCGGTAGATATATTAATTAACTTACTGATTGTTTTTTAATAATGACAGAATCTTCATCCGCCCCTGGTGATATGATTGCAGATGTAAATAGGTACAATCTGATGGGGTAAGTTCTTATTTCATTGTAATAACCTTCCAAGGTGAAGGGGTCTCCATTACTTAATGTGTCCTGAATTGGAGCTCCAGCATAGTTTCCAATATAATAGTTGTAGTCCTTCAATTGAAGACCCTGTATCTTATTTTCACCATTTGGAAAATAAATTTCTAGAAATTTCTCCTTCATTTCTGCTAAAGTGGTACTTTTATGTATATCTATGACCTCCTTACCACCAGTGACTCTCGAGTACACAGAATTTCTTTTTTTTTTGATCATCCAACCAATATGTACTCTTCTGGTGGTGGATATATTATTTGACCTGCCGAATTGCTTCCTTTGTATATTCCGGTGAGAGCTTAGTTCTCTTAACTTTCTAAGTGTGGGAGAGTCTGGCACTGCAATATCAAAAAAGTTTCAAATTCAACAGCATGCATCTAATCAATGCAAATATTAAGGCATAATTTTCGTTTTCATGTGTAATTATTAATACTGATTTATCATATTTTTCTTTTTATCATACAAAAATGAGTTATAGGTCTGCAAATATTCTAGCATTTATATAATTACACACATTGCACAATGGTTCTGCAGCGATTTCTCAATCTTGCTCTGTCCCCAACTGTCAATACTCCAAGTTTTTCAAACTCGGCATCGGTCAAGGTTAGTACTTCTTTAGGTCCAACCTACAATAATTGAAGAACAATTTTCAAGAAATCGATCTGAACATTTTTTTTTCATGATGAGCATTAACATATTAAGAACATTAATCTCCTTATTAATTCACTTCTCTTAAAAGAGCTATTTAATTCAATACTGAGTAAATTATGATCACACAAGATCAGTTTTGCATGAAAATGGAACAACAAAACTCAATTTCATCTCAATGAGAAAATATATATATGCCTAATTACAAAACGTAGGGTACCTGTAGTTTACAATATACCAATATATTTTTGGCACTTTTCTGGTAAAGAAAAAGAACTTTAGAATAATCTGTCTCAGGACTATTTAGCCCACCTAGCCAAAATTGTGACTGAGTACAGTTTTCTTTATAGACTCACCTATAACCTATAATTGTCACCCAAGCAGTTCAATTTCATATATTAACAAAATGGAATATGAATAAATAAGTAAAATGAATGATAATTTTTTTTTTCAATAACATGTAATGCATTAATGTTTCCCTTATGTCTGGGTTCTATGTTTAAATAGAGCTGGCAATCAAACATTTGATTTAATTCTTTTGAAGAAAAATTAGGCTTTAAATCATTGATAAAATAAATTTTAAACAATTTACAAATGAATTAAAAAATAAGGAAAAACATACATCCCCTTTAGTTATTGTACACAAAGTACATTATTGACACCCACACTAGAATATACACTTTAGATTTTTTTGGATAGATGTCCATCATCCATGTCATCTGAGAATGTAAACCTCAAAAATATTTAACGAAATGCTTGTGGCTAAGACAGTAATGGTCATTTAATATTATTCAGTTTCATCAGAGTATATATATCTTTTTTCATGGCACTTAACCAGTGGTAATTCTTTCTTTTAAATTGTTCTCTCCCTGCATGATCCCCTATTTTTTTTTCACCTAATCAAAAACCATTCAACTGTGTAAATTACAGAACTTTGGCAATGCAAGTGGAAAGACGTCATTTTAAAAGTCAGGCTAAACAGTGTCTGTAGGATAATATCAGTTTGATGATAGCATGTTCCATCTATAAACTTAATAAAAACCTTTATTAATTAGTTGATAAGAAAATATTTACGGACAAAAGAGCTATTTTGCTTCTTAAAGAGAATTAAATAGGTACTGTTCAGTAAAATATGTATAATAATGGGGAAAAAAACATTAGAACTTGAACCATGCTTTTTTGAAATAGGATCCGGCGGGGCCAATTTTTGGCCCCTGAGAAGGTACTGATAAATCCTTACCGATCCCCAAGTGCGTATGAGAAATATGAAAAACTGTCTCATATCGACTTAAAAAGCCATATTATATGAATTGATTAATATGAAAGTTTCCGAGTTACCTTTTCTAAAGGATAAAAAATACGCGTCCATATAAAAAATTTGCTTGGTGCACCCCTTTTCAAAAGAAGTTATGGACCCGCGTATATTAATGTTACTTGATTTTTTTAAACTTTAAAAAAATTAAAACAGTATAGTTCCATCCTTTTCAATGTACAAATTATTACAATTAATCTACCTTATGTTCCTCAAACAACTCTTTACAATGTAAAAGAGCAACCTCTCTTAGGATTTCGTCCATTTTTTTTAGATCATGCGCAGACAATTATTTCCGTGAAGATTATTTCCGACGGCGAGTTGTGTGTTAGCGCGACGGCGTGTTGCTTGAAAGCGTGTTAGCGCGACGGCGTGTTGTGCGAACTTGTGTTAGCGTGACAGCGCGTTGTGTGTTAGCGCGACATCGTGTTGTGCGAAATTGTGTTAGCGTGACAGCGCGTTGTGTGTTAGCGTGACATCGTGTTGTGCGAAATTGTGTTAGCGTGACAGCGTGTTGTGTGTTAGCGCGACGGCGTGTTGTGCGAACTTGTGTTAGCGTGACAGCGCGTTGTGTGTTAGCGCGACGGCGTGTTGTGCGAACTTGTGTTAGCGTGACAGCGCGTTGTGTGTTAGCGTGACATCGTGTTGTGCGAAATTGTGTTAGCGTGACAGCGTGTTGTGTGTTAGCGCGACGGCGTGTTTTTCTGAACGCGCTGTTGAGCTTTTGCAAATGGCCCTATCCGGACACCATAAAAACCTCACCTCTCTCCCTTGCTGGTTTGCCAGACTCTATAATTATAAATATTTTCATAATAACTAACTCTTAATTACAATCTTCGATACAAGATTTCAATATGAAATAACCCCTGATAGATGCAACTTTTTCCTTCCTGACCCATTCTGTATATATCAAATCACATGATGTATGTTTTTAAGTATATACTCTATCTCCCTAAAAAAAATAAAAATTGAATGTGAAATAAAAATAAAATATTCATAGTATTTTTTTAATGAAAACATAGATGCCAAATACCTGTTCCACATCGAAGAATTTCCCGGACCTAGAAAAGTTTATGGTGTTTAGTGCCTTCCAAACAAGACTGGAGAGCTTGTGGCGAGTTGTCAATAGATTTTGCAAAAGGCTCCTAACAGTTTCCGACAAGTTTTAAGAAAAACAGAAGTTAAGAACAAGTCATTTTTTTCTTTGTCTTGCTTGATGGGACAGTAACCACAGTGAGAACCTTAAAACAAACATGAAATATTTTGCCAACAAAGGGGAGGTTTGATGTTGTAGTACAAAATAAAAGTATAAACTCGGCAACCGGTTGTTCTAAAACATCAGAGTTGGGATCAGATGCCATGGAGGAGTAAGCATCCCCTGTTATCGGTAACATCCGCCGTGTGCTCTTTGAAAAGAGGAACTACGGTTAATGCTGTGAACAGAAAGCGCTGCTTGCCTCATAGCAAAGCAGGATACGCCACCGGGCAAATTTAAATTATGTAGTGATTACTTCGAAATAGATGACCGATAAGACGTTAATTCCAACCAACATTATTGTAAATGTACCAAGAAACAGAACATTGAGATCTTTACAAGGGCATTCAAGAGAAATCTAACAAAGGTATTATTCATCAATGTTTACTAGTATTGGTATATGTATCAAATGTCTGTCGTTTACTCTACCCAATTAGATAAAACAGATATCATCAGAACCAAATTATATGGGCATATATATGTTTAATTGTTATATATAGTTTTATATATATATATATATATATATATATATATATATATATATATATATATATATATATATGATATAATATAATATATAATATATATATATATATATATATATATATATATATATAAATAGATAAGTCAGTGCTTCAGCTCTCCTCTACATTAATTTTAAGGATAAACTACGAGAACATGGATTACTGACTGGCAAAGTTGAGATGTGAATGCATTTCTGGATCAGAAGTAGAAGAAATCGTTGATGAAAATGAAACTTGCCCAGAACACTCTCAGTCTGTCAGTAAGATTAACAACGTTACATTTTGTCAGCCTGTGAATTAATACCGGAATGGAAAAAAGCAGTAATTGATTTTTTTCAATGAGAAAAAAAAACCGTTACGACTAGTGATGTTTTTAATATCTTAGCAGTAAAAAATAGTAGCTCAGGAATTCAACATCAGAATCAAAATTGACAGAAGTTTTTGGACATAGAGAGATTGCAAAGGTTTGGTCATAATGCTTTGATGATAACCAGCAAAGAAAATCGCTTGACTTCAAACGGATTCATCGCAGCAGCTTTTTCCAGGTGAAATGGTTATTGTAAATTTGAAATGATGCATTCTGCCCTATGCAACAGGATTACGGTGTAATCAATACAAGCGACTTTGTGATGCTGTTTTTTGTATGTTGTTTAACCCTCTTCCCCACAGTCACGCGTTTTAACGCATACACCATTTCCTATTTCTAACGCAAAATCACGCATATACCGTTTCCCCGCAATCACGCATTTTCACGCACTTTCAAAAGTAAATTAAATCTTCAGTTTAATGTCAATTTCCTTCTAATTTATGCTTGCGAAAATCTCATAAAATAAGAAAAGTTATAATCTTATTAAAATATTACCTCATAATTATTTACGCTAAACTTTAGAGAAACTTGTACCTCGCTATAAAGTGCTTGCGGGGAAAAGGTAACGTCATATTTCCATGACGTGAACATTAAATGTATATTGCGTCACATTTCGGTAAGTTGTAAAGAGTTAACGTCCCTCTCGAGAATTTTTCACTCATATGGAGACGCCACCACTTGCCGATAGAGAGCTGCAAATTTTGTCCTATACTCGGCACTTACGGCCATTGAGCAGTGAGGGATCTTTTTCGTGCCAGCAACTACTGAGACAAGAGACCTCGGTTTACACGGTCTCATCCGAAGGACCGGTCTCCACGTCCCACAGTGGGATTCGAACCCGCGACGTAAGGATCAACTCCTTACTTCGCGACTCTGTAGCCGACGCTCTAACCATTGCGCCACGCGGGCGACTGTGATGCTGGTAATATAGGGGTTATACCAGAAAGTGCATTGAAAGCAAACATGATCCATACGGTTGTGCACTATACTGTACGGTTATGGCTAAGGAGTCCGTTATTGAATAATTTATTGTTAGTGAGTGCCTCCCTGATTACGTGTGAACCAATGGACATTCTTTGTTTGCAACTAAAATACTTCATTTATAGAGTATTAACAATGGTTTCAACACACAAGATAAAAAAAACAAGAGGCCCAGGGGCTTTAACGGTTACTGAGTATAATACAACAATTTAGAGGATCCATAGAGTATAAAATGAACTGAAAGACGAAGCTTTGTGGCCCAAAAAGCAAGAAAAATAGGGTGACCAGAACCAACGAAATAATAAGTCTGGTATTCATTAACAGTTCGTTAATTAGGTTCTAATCTGTTCCTCATTTATCACTCTCACCATAAAGTATATTAACAAACTATCAGTGCTTATGTACTATTATAATTCTTGTTGAAATGTCGTACATTGGCTTCTCTTGGTCTTTGATGAACATTTAATAAGACAAGTTATATTTGTGTCATTTTTAATAATATATTACTTACAAGTCTTCCTGTTCATTAAGACTATAAAAATACTTTTTGTATTATACAATAAAAATTCTTGCATAATTCTCTTATTCTATTAACCTTTCAAGTACATTATTTACAGTGATTAATTAACAAAAGTAAATGGGAAAGGGGAATAACTCCCCTCAGTAGAATACAAATTAATAGAGCCCTGGCCAGGACCAGAACACTTCACCAAATGGTCCAGATGTTCAAAAATCTGGTAAAAATACCCTCCTTATGAAAACTTTTACTCTTTTTGCCTCTGATATGCCCAGGTGCAGAGAAGATTTTAAAAGAAATATTGCATTTTTACTACAGATTCACTATATTATCAATAGAGCCCCCCCCCCCCCCCCCACCGAGAACAACCAGAGCCTCTGACCCTAGAGCCAGAAGTTTGCTCATCATAAGTAATCACTTTGTTTACCTGCTTAACACTAAGGAGCAGACATGATTATTTAATAGAATTAACGCATTTTCAGTATATTATCAAGAGCCCCACCCTTACACCAGCACATCTGACCCAAGGGTCATTCAATTTACTACTCTGGAAGAAGCACTATTGCTCATCATAACAATACACTTAGCTTCTTTGCTTTTTAAACCAGAAGCAGAAAAGAATATTTTCAAAGACATTTTGCTTTTTCACTATATTATCAATAGAGCCCCTCCCCCCCCCCTTTTTCACCGGAACCCTTCACCCAAGGGCCATGAAATTCACAATTTCGGAAGAAGCATCCTTGCGTATCATAACAATATACTAAATTTGTTTAAATAATACCCAGGGACAAAGAAGATTTTCAAAGAAATAATTCACCTTCACTATAAGATCTCTATAACCCTGCCCTAGCACGAGAACCCCTGTCCCTGGGGCCATGAATTTCACAATTTTGGAAGAGGCATCCTTGCTTATCATAACAGTGTACTTTGTTTAAATAGTACCCAAGAGCAGAGAAGAAGATTTTCAAAGAATTATTGCATTTTCACTATATACTAATTAGAGCCCCGCCCTAACACCAGAACCCCTGATCCAGGGGCCATGCAATTCACAATTTTGGAAGAGGCATCCTTGCTTATCATCTTGATGAAGCTAGGAGGAGGGGATTCAAATCGCATTCTTTCTACATTATTCAATGTGTCAAAATCCAGGATGCAAAGAGCTATTAAATCAATTAGAACAGCTTTGATGATTGGCAGATGTGTAACAGAGAACCTTGGATTTGGTCACATCACAAGAAAAATGGTCATCCAACAACATACTCGATCATTAGCCCAGTCCCTTTTTGGTGATGCAGGAACCCAGCAGGCCATACTTCTCCTTGATGGAACCTATATCTACATAAATGAAAGTGGTAATTTCAAGTTCCAGTTTAGTTTTCACAAGGGCAGGCCCCTAGTTAAACCACTAGTTATTGTGTCCACTAGTGGCTACTTCCTTGGATTATTATACCCTCCGCAAACGAAGTTTAGGGGATATTGGAATCAGCAGGTCCGTCTGTCTGTAGACGAGATTTTGTCCGGACCATTTCTTAGAAACTGTTGCAAGGATTTGTCTGAAAATTTTTACACTATTATTCGCCATATGAAGGTGTGCAACTAGTATTTTCATCATGATTGGATA